GTAAGCCACCAATGAACACAGTTTGTGCGAAAAAGTTAAATACATGCACAAATTTTGCAAAGAGAGAATTTGAGTTTAAAATGTTGAAAAAAACTTCCTCTCAAGGATAGCCAGTTTATTCAGGCAGCTTTTGCAGATAACCTTTTCTCAATTCCACAGTGCAGGTTATCACTGAAGAGTGGAAATTATCCCCTCACACTGTCATTTCTTTTTGCATCAATCTCAGGAAGTTTAACTGAAGTTTAACTAAAGTCTCAGGGTGACCTTGATGCTGGAGGTGGCCAAATGTTACGGCTTCTATTTGGCAGTGCTCTGTGCACCAAAAGTGTCTGTCAGGTAGTCCTTCACAGCTTTCTTTGAGGAGTTACCTGTGTTGGTGGGTTTTGTTTAGGTGGTGTGGGTTTGCTTTTGGAAATTTGAAATGTATATGCACTGCACGTGTATGCAAATAGTTGGTAAGGTTCTGAAAACACATAAAACATGAAAGCATTAAAAAGAACCCAACCACCTATGTGTAGGTTCAAGCAAGCAGTTCTGTACACTGCCTCTACAAAGAGTATACCACAAGGTCACCATTTTCTTGTTTTATGTTTGCAGTTAGGTGGTTTTGTTCTGTACAGGAGTTTTAGGTCCATGAATTAGTTTTATTAGCAAAGAGCAAGCAAGCATAGTGGAAAACATTGCAGAGAATTTTTATGAAATCAAAAGCAAGAAGCTCTGGTGGACCTACACTGCAGAAAGTGTTTTATTGTAGCAATAAGAAATAAAAGCTCCCTTTGTCTAGCAGTTTAGAGGAAGCTGTATGAAGTATTACTGCAGGTTAGTGATTGCCTAGAAATATTATATAGTACTACTTGAATTTTTTAGAACTGGGAAGTTTCCTGTTGAAGAATTTAGCATCCCTCAAATTCTTAGAAAACATATTTCTAAAATGTAACTTTAAACGGTTCTGTTTCATCCACTTTTTACTTCGGTGTTTTACCAATATGCATTTAATAAAGAACAGAAATTGAGGTATTGTCCTGGAACCTTTCTAAGCAGTGTATTACACAAAGGTCTAGGTGTTACTTTTTGCAGTATCTCAGCTGAGAAGTTACTAAATTAACTTTTTTAGACCTTCTAGTGGTGCATTAAAATGTGTCTGTGTGCACATACAAATGTAAATATGTACACCATAGTTTAATTTTGGCAATTGTAACCTTTTTCAGGGACTAGTTTTTATATTGATATCCGTCTTCTTTTGGAATCCATGTGCAAAAAGCTGTTAAAAAAGAAGACTTAGTGAGCTCCTTGTCTGTATTTTCACCATAAACCTTTTAGGTTAGCAAGAGTTTGTCAGTGGCTTCCCCAGAGACTGATGAAGCAATCGAAATAATGAGCACTGAGGACTGGTGGGACAGGCCCAAGTTACATTACTTGCTGAGGTCACTTCAGAAAAGCTCTGTGTATTAAAACCTGTATAGAATTTTCCGTTAAATGTGCCCATCTGTTTCCAATTACTGTTGCAATATGAAGAAATTATGACAACTTTAACAGTGCAGGAGGGATTCTCAATACATGTTTTCAACTTCGCAACAGAGTTGACTTGACATTGTTTATTTGTGACTATGTTAAAAATCAAAGGAAAACATTAAAATGTGGCACACAGGAGGCATTTTTGAGCACTGATACTTGTGCTTGAAATACAAACATTTTAAGTCATAAAAGAGAAAAGTAGCTAAGAAAGTCTACTGCAGTTCTCCAGTTCAAGGTATGTTTAAAAAGTAAGATTCTCCCATCTTTCTATCCAGCAGTTTCTCTTCAATCAACACTGCAGAATAGGAGGCCCTCCTTGCCCTTCTCTTTCAGATTTGCTGTAATCTAAATCTGAATATGATTGTTTTGGTTTAAGTCTCTCTCAAGCTACAATTCATGCAAATAAATTTATTCACTTATAAACTGTCATTTAAAAACAGCAGAAACAGATTTAATGGGAACATATGTAAAAGAGTAGAAATAGGAACGGGGTGGTGATTATATTTTGATTAATTTTTTTTTTCCTTCTTTGAAACAAAAAAACCTATCATTGTAAATATGTAGCTTAACCCTTATGTTTAGTTTGGGGATCATTAGAATCATTGAATTGTCTAGGTTGGAAGGGATCTTTAAGATCATCAAGTCCAACCATTGACCTAACACTGCCAAGTCCACGACTAAACTATGTTGCTAAGCACAACGTCTGCCCATCTGTTAAGTACTTTCAGGGATGGCGATTCCACCACTTCCCTGGGCAACCTGCTCCAATGCTTGATAACCCTTTCTGTGAAGAAATTTTTCCTGATATCCATCCTAAACTTCCCCTGGTGCACCTTGAGACCATTTCCTCTTGTCCTATAACTTGTAACGTGGAAGAAGAGACTGACCCCCACCTCACTACAGCCTCCTTTTTGGAGGAACCCAAAACTGAACACAGTACTCAAGGTTATAGTATATGTGCACAACAAAATCTGACTTATAGCTGTGACTTACAGACTTTGTTAGCTTTGTTTCTTTCAAAGCTTTCCTCCTTTGTTTGTATTCTGATCTTTGGAGACAGATTATAAAAATGAATAATTTGTTTTAAAAAGCCTTTTTTTTTTTATTTTTGCTTTCTTAGTACAGCAGAATTATTCTTTTGAAATGGCTGTATGAGTGACTTCTCACTTTGCAGGTCAGCCGAAACATTGGTGATAGTGAAAATTAAGTTTCTAATTAAAATATTAACGAGGAAAATGTATTATGAGGAGAAGAGAAGGAACAATTTTCAGACAACCAAACTTTAAAAAAAGAAAACTTTTATGCTTAATTTTGTGTTTCAGTATTCTGCTTAAGCATTTTAAAAAAAATGCGTGTCTTATTGCCCAGTTGTTTTCAGCGGGGTTTTCTTTACGGTAAAAAGACACCATTTTAAGAAATTACTCAGAAAATGGCGTGAAGAGCTGAGCCTTTTGAATAAGGGAAGATCAATTCCAAAAGCTACACCTAAGAAAGTCCCTATTCTGCATTTTGTGCCAAAGGATTTGATTCTGCTGAGGATGGAGTCAGGCCCAGTGTATTATTTAGGTAAATTGAGTTACTAACATCAAATTTTAGAATAAAGGAATATTGATATAAGCTTTAGTGTGATACTTCTTGTCCTTTTTCTTTACTCCACTAGAAAACAAAAGCTCAGTTGGTTTGCTGCCCAGGACACACTGCTTATATATCTTCTCATATTTTCTTTTTTTGCTTAAACTGGTCAGAAGAACAGCTACTCTCTGAGTAGCATACTTCAAACTGAAAAATTCTTGAGCTTTAAACTGAATGTCTGGGTTAGGTTTTCATTTGGTCTGGTTTGGTTTGGTTTGGTTGGTTTGGTTTGGTTTGCTTTTTAATGTGCGAAGAGGGGATAGCAACTGAAAAATTCAGGGAATCTTGGTTTTATTCTGAGCTTAGGTAGAAAGAGGGGAGAGTGAGAGCTACATGAGGTCTTTTGACTAGTGGATTATTGGAGAAAGAGAGAGAGGAAAAATATTCTGGGGGATGAATGTGTACCTGTAAACATATGCTTCTTTAAACAAGAACTTACAATATAAAATATTGTTAATTTTAAACTGGCAGTGTTTTGAACACTAAGGATTATTCCAGTTATAAAAGGCTAATCTTTAGAACATATAGAAAAGGACAGTAAGGAGAATATCAATTATCTGACTTGCAGGGCACATAAATGGAGCCTTAGCTTAAGGGAAATGAGTTAATGGTTCTGGAGTTCTTATTGTAAAAGAAGATTTGAAATTCAGAGAAAGGGAGTCTACAGCTGAATACAGTTCTGTGTGGTAGCAAGCTAGCTACTTTGCCAGACATTTCAATTTTTTTCATGAACATATGAACAGGGAAACTTTATGTCTCCGAAACTTCACAGTATTGGTCTGCTAGTGAAGCATTTCATGGAAATGGACTTCCACAAGGAAAGGGTTGAACGCATGCAGCTGGAAGCTCAAGCGTGATGCTAGGAAGCAGGTGGAAGGAGAATAATTTGGAGCTGAGGTGGGGTGCAGGATCGTTTTCAAGTGGCAAAATTCCGCTTAAGAAACATTTCTGGTCAGGTGGGAAAGAATATTTCAGCTTCTGAATAACGTGTCTGCTCTCAAAGCATAGTTAACTTCTGTTAAGCGCCCCGGTCTCTATTTCACTTCATTTAAATGTGAACATGATGAGACCAATATTGACATTCTTACCCTCACACAGTAATTTTTCTAGCTTTTAATCTCCCTCTTTTTCTTCTGGTTGGAACAAAAAATAGGGTATAGATATGGGATTTTTATTTTTTACTTTGATCTGGCTTTTTTCTAGTCCAGAATTCTGATTTTTGCAAGTATGTGGATGAGCGCTGGAAATGTGCACACATTACTTTTGTCACTAAGCTTAAGTATAGAAGAGTTCAGCTTGAAATAATTTTAAGAGAACTCTACTGCTACACTGTAGAAATACAGAGTAGACAAAATTACTCTGAAGAATAATTCATCTCTTCACTGTGTTCTCTAGTCATTCAGACAGGACTACGCAGACTCTGTCTTTAAGACTGACCAACATGTTTATTTTATTCTGTGGGCTTTCTCAATATCAGTTACAAATATTATTTTAAGAAAGTGATTTATGGAATTCTGGTTATTTTCACAAAATGTGCTATGCTTTTTGGTCATTTAAAATGTATTTTAGTTAATTATTTTAAATATTGTGGTTGTGTGTTTGATCTTGCAGAACTGCAAGCTTGAGCTATCTTCAGACTCATTTGAAGAGATTATTTCTGTTGTAGCAGAAAGACAGAGCGAGAGCAGGATGCACATGTAGTTAGCAAATTACCCATTTTATTTTGCAATTATATTCCATGAGAATTTGGTATTGCAAAAAGTACGAGTATTGTTTTACAAAACAAAAACTCTGGAGCATGTTAACTTTCCAATTGTAAGAGCTTCTCTGTAGAGCTTTGTGCTTCTTCCAGA